CAGATCCAAATATATCCTGAAAGTGGTGGAAATTTGAAGGTAATGTCTGCCTTAATTTGCAAGATATGAAAGGCGAGGGCGCAGTATAGAAAAAGCAATGCTTATGGGCACTGATATTTACTAAGCAGGAAAAATTCAGAATTCTCTGCAACTTTTATAAATATCTCCCAATCTGTAGAGCCGAGTATTTACTAAAGATGGTGACAATTTCAACTTACTACCTCTTCTACTTTGCAAGATACACATTTTTATCCGATAGGATGCATTTTAGTAAGAACGTCCACTATGAGACCGACGTTTACTGAGCTGGAAAAATTGCGAATTGCCGGAAATGTAAATGAAATTTGCAGTATCCATAGAGGAAAGCATCTTCTAACGATTAAGAAAATTTAAATTGGTGAGTTGATTTAGTCTGGAAGATATGAATTTTTAAATTAAAGAGCGCAGCTGCGCCAAAACACCAATTTTGCTCAAAACACAAGATTCTTGACGATTCTTATAAAACGTTCTCCATTTATAGCTCCACAGGGCTTCTGAAAATGTTGAAAATTTTACATTACTGCCTGCTCTAGTTTGCAACGTACCAATTTTTAAAAGGCACAGCGCAGTTTAGTAGAATCATCCATATTGAGACCGTCACTTACTAAGCTTCGAAAAATCCAAATGTGAGGAGCTTTTAAGGAAACCTTCTCGAACTGTGGGAGCAAGTCTTCTCTAAAGTTTGAAAATTTCAAATTACAGCCTGATTTCGTTTAGGAGACGCGAAATTTTAAATGCCAGAGCGCCGTTAGGTAACAGCATGCGTTATGAGGCAGACAATTTTCAGAATAAAATAATGATAATCGAAGCTTAACGAATCCATGGAACAGCCGGGAAACTCAATTCGATTAATTACTTTTTTTGATGCTATTTTACTGTTTATTTTCAGTGGTCTCTTTTGAAATTTTCAAAAAGTGTGCCTAATTCTTAACCCTCAAAAACGTGTGACCCTTGGAGTCTGAAATTTGGCCCCATTTTGAAATTTCTTAAATATGTTTTTAATTTTTCAGTATTTGCAAATTGTTTCTTTCATCTTTAATACTATTTTTTGACAATTTTGGTATGGCTCAAAATTATTGAAATTTAATGGCAAGAAGAATAATTTAACTTAAGATTGAGGAAAACAAGCTTATTAGATCGAAACGTTTTTTGTAAAGGCGAAATTGTCATATTTTTCGCCACCTTTTTGCTAATTTTTTAGGCTGAGATGAAGCCAAAGC